ATACCATTCAGCTGAGATTAGGATTCCAACGCGTGAATGTTGGGAGATGCTGCTTCCATACACAGCGCTTCTCTTTCATTGTCTGTGTTAAATGAGATGGTCTCTGGCATTGTGTGATAGATTTAGAACAGGGAGGGGTAGGGATGTCAGGAACAAGCTAAGACACTGAAGGTAGATTTGACCTTGTTACCAAATAAGCCCAGCTGTTAACTAGAGTTTTGAAGTGACTTGTCACCCTCATGGTTAACCTTAATCTCATCTATTAACAGTTTTATCCTTTTCAGAGGAAAAAAATCATTAAATTTGAAATAATTGGTACTTTTTTCTTTATTGTCTGTTTTTGGGGAGAAATAATTTAATGAGGTGCTTTCCTGTTTTGAGCTTGTTTCCCGCATGTCCAGAAGATTCTATGAAACTCTCTTCCTCCTGGTAGCTGCAGGCTTAAACAGCACCTCCCCTATGACAGCCTGCCCCAGCCATCTGGCTACAGGTTTCCCCTCTTTGAAACCAAACAAACCGACCCTGAGTCCTGATTCCCTCCCTGGTCATTGCTTTGCATTCTGTTAGATGTCTTCCCAAAGAATAGAAAGGCCTGTTTTGTGAGTTCACTAAGATTTTTTCTGTAGTTAACTCTAAAAAAATGATTTAAAAAAAAATGTTGTGACAGAAATTACTATTCTTAGAGCCAGAAGTATCCTAGGACATGGCCATGTCTTTATTTATGAAAAATGCCCCAAAAAAGCCATTTGTTAGCTTCATATTCAGTGTTAGACTTAACCCAATGGCTTGATTCATGCTCTTAAAAATCTCTAATGTAGTCATGCACCAAAATAATGCATAAATTCTTGTTAATTAATCCCTTCCTATTGCTCAAGAGACTCAAATGTGTGCAGAAATATGTATTTTTCTCTTTTCATCTGTGAGTGGATGTCTGCATGTGTGTGGGTACACATGCAGGTTGCACATGGATAGTCGTGCATGTGCTTGTGGAGGCCCCAGGTTTATGTTGAGAATCTGCTTTCACTGATCCTACCCTCACCTTATTTACCATCGAGGCATGCTCTCTTCATCAGACGCAGAGCTTGTCTGTACAGTGTCTCAATATTGCTCCAGAGATCTCCATCTCTACCCTCTGATGTGGGGATCAGAGGTTGGCCATCATACCCACATGCCATTTATAGGGTCTGGGGATACAGGTTCTAGACCTCAGACTTGCATGGCAAACACTAGCTACTGAGATATCTCCCTAGCCTGGGAGAGTCATATTTTTAAAAGGACAAATAAAGAGCTAATGAACCTGACCTCTCTGAAACTTAGGGTTACTGACAAAGGCATGCGTGTACCTAACATGCAGAATAGTCTGACTTCAGAACTTTGGACTGCTGAGGTGAAGTGACCAGCAGATCCAGTGTTTCCAGAATCACTCATGTTCTAGGTAGAACGACTTTTCTTTTCCAATGGGTGTACCTCCATTGTTCTTTTGCTTTCCACTGTGCTAGCTAAAACTTCCAAAACTGTTTGGAAATATAGCCTGCCCTCTAAGGGGCTATCTATGGTACAGTCTGGCTTTTGTTACGCTAAGATAGTTTCTTTACTCAGTATTAAAGTGTGAACATTGAGGAAGAAATGTTGTCCTTGCCCTTTGGGTTAGTTCACAGTTGCTACTATAAAACTGTATCATAAATCTGGTGGCTTGAGACAATGCAAATGCATTTTTTGGTGTCTTGGGTTAAACTAATTTTGTACTCCTGGGGTAAAATATTTGTTGTGGTTAGTGTATTAGTCAGGGAGAAACACAACCAGTAGAAAGGATAGATGGAAAGAAAGAATAAAAGAAGGATAAGGGATAAAAACAGATAGATGAAGATGAGTGATGAATAGATTAGATAGGTAATAGATGCTGTGGGATGTCTTTCTGTATGCTGTGAATATGTGTTGCTCTGATTGGTTGATAAATAAGGCTGCATTGGCCTATGGCAGGGCAGGATAAGGTTAGGTGGTACATTCACATTGAAGCAAGAGGAAGAAAGGTGGAGTTGGGGAGGTGCCAGCCCACCACTGAAGGAGCAACAAGATGCCAGCAGATCAGTAATGCCACGGCCATGTGGCAACATATAGATTAATAGAAATGGGTTGAGTTAAGTTATGAGAACTAGCTAGCAAGAAGGCTGACCCATAGGCCATATAATTTGCAATTAATATTAAGCCTCTGAGTGATTATTTTATAAGCAGCTGTGGGACCACAGGGCTGGGTGGGACCAGAGAAATGTACAACTACAGATAGATAGATAGATAGATAGATAGATAGATAGATAGATAGATAGATAGATAGATAGAAATAGATTTACTAGGATTGATTCATATGATTGTAACAGGCTTTAAAGTTCTCCACAAGACATCTTCTCCATGAGCTGGAGAAGCAAAGGGCCAGTAGAATGCCCACACGTGATCAAGAGGACCTCAAATCCAGGGAATCTGATAGTGTAGCTCTGTGCTCAAAGACCTGGGAGTCTGTAGGACTGTTGGCAAAAGTCCCAGAGTCAGAAACCTATTGTTCTGATGTCCAAGAGCAGATGGGCAGGGCAGCCTAATCCATCAGAGACTGAGAAAATTAGCTTTTTTGTTCCAAGAAGCCCTCACTGACTAGATGGTACTGGATCACACAGGGTGAGAGCAAATCTTCCACACTCAGCCCAGTGATGCAGATGCCAGTGTCTTTTAGAAGCACACACCGAACCCAAGGCAGAAACAATACCTTGGGAGTTTTATGAATACTCCTAACCCAGTCAACCCAGCACAAAATTAACTACCACAGTATATTGGTCTTTTTATACATTATTTTAATTTTTCCATGATGTTGCTTCATTTAGTTTGTTCTGTATTCATAGTTCATGTTATTTTGCAGGTGTGTATGTATGAGAGAGAGAGATGGAGAGAGAGATTGAGAGAGAGAGAGAGCGATAGGATGGAGTAGTTTGCTGGGAAACTAAAAACCCACAACTACTACAATAATCTTTTGTCATGTTATGTTATGCTCACTATTTCCCCTAATCACCCATAATAAGAGGGTCAATCGTGTGCTCACTTTCTTACCTTTGCATGAATGTTGGTATCTCAGTGAGGTTTATGGCCTGTTTATTCTCTACCTCTTCCTCCTCCCTCTCCTCCTCTTCCCTTTCCTCTTCCTCCTCCTCCTCCTTCCTCAACTTTCTCTTCCTTCTTGTCCTTTATTCTTCCTTCTTTTCTGTCTTCTTCCCACACTCTTAAGTTTTTATTACTCTGGCCTGTATGTGCTGCTTGGATTTTGCTTCCAAAGGTAAAAATGTGAGTGTTTCAGAGTTATGGGACTGTGACCACACGTTAGAGCAAATAGAAATCCTGCCATCACGGCTGCCTGTGGCCTTGGTGTCTTGTTTTGTTTTCCACTTTAAGAAGTGTTTTAGTCTCTTTTTCTACACACACCACACACACACAATTTTTCATTTAATATTGAAAAAGGCTTTGTCAGGAAGCCCAATTGACTCCAGAATCCCCACGTCTTTCCTTAAAGGGGCAGAAGTCTGCAATAACCTCTGCCGTAACCTCTCCTGCTCTCCCGTTCTCACACACATGTCCACCACACTCGCACACACGTACGAACACACACACACACAGAGGGAGAGAGAGAGAGAGGTGTTCCCTTGATTGCATTAACTGTGGCTAACAATGCATAACATTAGCACATCTGTAGTGTTTGATAAATGTGATCGGTTTTAACTGGGGCAACACAAAGCTGGGGAATTCTTAGGTCAGAATTTCCCTCTTCCATTCCACAGTTATCTTAAAGAGTGGTGAGATGGCAAGGTACTTCTCCAAGGAAACTCCCTGACAGGTCTTGTTTTCTAAAGAGTCATAGAAGAGCTGAGGAGATGAGGAAGAGAAAAAAAAAGTTAGTTTTCCGCTTCCGTTCAATGGAAGCTCATGTTTGTTATTTGCTATAAAATTCCATGTGTTTGGGTTTTTTGTTTGTTTGTTTGTTTTTTGTTTTTTACAACTACTGGTACAAATAGTGCTCTCCAAATCTGGGAATATGACTGTAGACCAGAATAAACCTCAATTTTCATAAAGAGAGGTCTAACATGTATATGTTAGAGGACGGGAACCTGAGCTGAGTGATGGAGTTTTTATGTCAGGTACTTAATCAGAAATGATGCACTTTGTAGAGTGGCCAAAAGTCTTTAGTGCAACCTTGAAGACTGCCTAACCTAGAATAAAAAATATTTAGACAGACCAGGAAAAACAACTGCTCATTGATGATGAACTTCAAGTAAACTGGGGGTGGGGGGAAAGTTCTGTTATGAGCTCAAATGCTATAATGAGCATTGATTTTGAACAAATAAGAATGTATGCTACACATGCATGCATGCACATACATACATACATACACACACACACACACACACACACACACACACAGACGGAGAGAGAAAGAAAGAGACAAAGCATATGCTAACAACACACATTTTATTGATTTTTTTTCTATGATGCCTTTGTAACAGCTATGGGTTAATGAAAATATATGAGATTTGGTTATGATGAACTTTTTAAAAAGATCTGTGTTTAAGTTTTCCTTTGTAAAACTCACCTTTATTGAGTTATGACTCATTTAGTCATGCATGCTGGGTATTTCAACAGAGGTGGGGGAAATGTAACCCAGAGATGGACTTTCTCAGCCTCTTTAGGAGTAAAGTCATGTGACATTTGTCTCCTGTGCTGCACATTTATCACTTAGCACAAGGTCCCCAAGGTCACCCAACTGTCACAATGAGAGAAGCTCCTTTTGGGGTGACAAAAAGTATTCTCTTGTATGTTACATTTCCCTTATCCATATGGCAGCTGGTGGGCATTTAGACTGATTCCATGTCACCATTGTGAACAGGTCTACAATGTAGAGGAGAGTGCAGATACTTCTTTGACATACTAACTTCCTTTTCTTTAATAAAATTCTTCTTTTCTGGCAGTATGGTCTGTGAGGAGAGTTTCTCAGACTTTGATGTGCACATCGCCGGACTGGGGGATCCTGGCAAGTGCAGGTTCTGAGGCAGTGGATCTGGAATGGACCTGAGACTCAGCATTCCTCATCAACCCCAGGTGACAGTGATATGTCTGCTATGTGAGCCTTGAAGTCACAGAGATTCCCTCCCACCCCCAACCTCTGCTGGGATTAAAGGCATGAGCCACCACCACTCAGCAGTTACTCTTATTTTAAGACTTCCTAAGGGCTGGGGTGTAGCTTGGTATAGATGCACATGCACAGCATGGGTGAGGTCCTGGCTTCCAGTCCCAGCACCATCAACCATTTCTGTAAGTAGCAATTCTAACTCACATGGGGGACACATTTAATGTTACTTGTATATGTCATTCCACCAAATTTAAAAGGCCTCTACTGTTCCCTTCCTAGGTAAAGCCTTTTTGCAACGAACCTTCAGAAAACCCCCAAACTATATGACACAGCCCCACCAAAGTTTGCCTGTAAAGCTATCATGGAAAGTAAATGAAATGTATTACTTAGTATCAGCAAAGATGTCATGTAAAGATGAAAACTTACGTTGAAAACTGTGACTTTAGAACAAAGCAGAAACTGATTTGTCTTGTGATACAGCCTATGCTGAGCCCCAGTGCACTATGTGATTGATGACGACCTTGAACTTCCACAACCCCAGTTGCTGGGATTACAGGTGTGTGCCACCACATCGTTGGTTGTATGCTCTTCTGGGGATCAAACCCAGGGCCTCATGTATGCTAGGTGAGCCCACTACCAACCAAAATTTATTTTTCAACTTTAGTAGAGGATATAAACTCTTCCAACTTGACCAGCTGGCATGCAGGAAATCTTTTCCCTGCTAAAATGTAGCTACACCACAACCCAATAAACTCAAAAGCTGCAAGAGCCCTGTTTTGCTTCTAGTACCGCAGAGCGTGTGTTTTAACTGAGCGTCAGATGTGTGGCTGTGAGTCAGGGCAGCTGATAGCAGCTCTTGTCTTTGGGCTGTGCCAGTGAGCCTTGTTGGACTCATTTGTAAATACCCTCCTGCCACTTCCTCTGTCCTGCTCCCGTGTGTCACACACACAGATGATGATGGGCAGTCTTCATCCGGACACACTTGCAGCCTCCCTCCCGTTCACAGGTCGCTTGTCCCCTTCCCCTGCCAGCACTGGACATTCTCTACTTGGGAGACCCCTTCTGGTGCCACATGCTTTCTGAAATGATCAGCCCGACACTATTTCCCTAGAGGGCCTGGCAACCCTACACTCCTTCATCCGTCCCACCTAGTGTGGGCTTTCATTTTATGTTTCACTCCCTCATAAAAAGCAGCTCACTGTGCTGTCTTGGGTACAATCATGGGCTAACCTCAGCTCATTCACATCATTTCCTAGCTCGAGCCTACACTCTCCTCTCTCCAGTAAGGTACCATCAATCTGGATTCTGTGTTAAGTCTGCTCCATTCACAGACATTGCTAGCTCACCCTTGCTATTTCTTGGGTATAAATATGAGGTTTACCAGTTATTAATCTATTTATTTTTTTAAGGCATCTAGCCTGGTATTGCCGTTAGTTCACTATTTGCAAACTTGCTTTGTCGTTTTATTGATAGCACTCGGGTGGAGATCTCCCTGTTAATATATGCAAACTCACAGCTCCCAACAAGCTTTCCAGCCTTGTTAATGAGCGGATTAACAAGAGCGCTGCAATGTATTTAACCTGCAGCACTAGCTCTGTTTCAATAAGACTTCAACAGCCTATTAAATGGAGTGGGGGCTCAATTAACCCACACAAAGGCCACTCTACCCACCGTGGCAGGGAGGACCACATTTAGCATCTGCCTAAGCAGCTTGTTGGAAGCTGGGAATAAAGAGAGTGACATGTTCTTGCCTGGAGCTATGATATAACTGAAATGGTGATTCTGGTTCATCTGGACTGACTGAATAGGTGACAGCGTTGAGACCCACGAGCATCTCACCATATGACAGTTTCTAAAGGAAGAAAAAACAACTCCGTATATTCAATGGTCACTCTGCCCCTGTGCCTTATTCCAGGGGACTTCCCTCATTGTCCTTAGGTCAGCTCATAGGAGACACGGATTATGGATGTGAGGATGGCGGGTGTTAGGGTGTGATAGATTGTGGTTGGGGATAAGGGATGGTGGTTGGCAACAAAGATATCCCAAGAAGTACATTATATTCTGTTCAAAGAGCAGCTCTTTCTGTAGGTGGGAGCTTGAACTGGGTTGTCATCTTTTGGAAGTATGCCTCTTCTTCCATGTGGCCAAAGGCTGACCATTTCTTTCTAGAAACCAATATACAGGAAGCTCATCCATCTGGATACATCTAACCTGTCCCTTGAATCTTGTCAGGATGGCTGTTCTGTGTGGCTAACAGAGTAAGCTACCTGCCAGGATATCCAAGAAGCCTCAGCAACTGCAGCATGCAAGTCAGAAAGCAAGTTGACTAAATGAGTAGATGGCCATTCATTTGCTTAGGATGGCCTGAGTCTTTTATGGTGATAACACCCATGTCTCCCTCAGTTTCCTACTTGTGATTCTTACCCCATTAATGTTTACCCCATTGCTAGCCTCCTTCCAATGCACTCTGTTACTCTCTGGTTCATCATGATGCAAGTTTCACATGGGCCAGAGTTTTAGTTTTGCTTATAAATATGTGTTAAGCACCTATAATTATTTCTAGTCTCTCTAGGTATCAATAAATGCTTATGGAATACATGATAATGAAGAAGAAACATAGCTTGTGGACTGATTTTAGGACCATAACCAAATGATTCATTGAGTAAAATTCTTACAGCAAACCTTCCACCCTCAAAAAACTAGGGGAAAATCACTACCTGACCTCACTAAAGTAGAGTGATTCCCATAGGTCCCTTCTCCATCTACTTGCACCATCATTGGTGAGGAAACGAAAGAAGGAATTTTCAACACTGGACTAGTCCTGTAGCATGAACTGTATGCCTACTAAACCTGAATCCTTTTACTTGTGTTCTTAGATGTGTTCAAAATTATATTTTATCCAGCAAATGTTGGAGACAGAAACTAATGAGATCTTTTATGGAAGAGTTACACACTGGAGCTCATGGGAAGGCAGCATGAACATGCCACACCCATTGCCTGATGGGAAGGCAGCAGGAGCATGCCACATCCATTGCCTGATGGGAAGGCAGCATGAACATGCCACATCCATTGCCTGATGGGAAGGCAGAAGGAACATGCCACATCCATTGCCTGATGGGAAGGCAGCATGAACACGCCACATCCTTTGCAGTCTTGCCCAAACCATTGAGTTATGAATTGCAAACACAGTGGATTGAAAGCACAATGGTGGGCATGTTGCAGATATCACACCTATGCTGCTGGTTATGTGATTCACTCTAATATAACACTAACAAACATTTTATTGTGTGTGTTCATTGCTTACGCTTCTAGATCGAAGGCTACTATAACAGTGGCCAGCACTTTACCTCCTTTAATTCTGTCCTAAGAACACTAATAGCTCTATTTTTCTTCATTTGCATGTCCTAGTAGCCTCAGAGCGAGGATGAAGGCTAAAATTAGTTTCCTCTAATTTGGTACCTGTAGCCATTGCTGGTCTTGTATAAGCATGGAGATTCTTGATGTTTCCAGATAAGGAAAACCACTTTTGTGTGTTGTGCACACTAGAGAGCCAAGAACTATCCTTTGTCAGCTAACAAAAGAAACTCATCCAATATAGACCCTTACAGTGCTGCTGCCTCGGAGGCAAATGGATTTGGAAAAGATGCGTTCTCTGGTAATGATCCAGCTACACACAGGTCCTAACTGCCTGCTATCTACTTCACTCTCACTTTTGGAGATGACAGGACAGAAATCACATGACTAGAGCTCCATTCTCAATCTGCTGGCTGGTCACCCAGACACAAAGCTCATGCTTTATTCTCATAGATGTTCCCATGTATCTCTTGGTTCATGAAGAAGCTTGTTTGATATTTTATGTTCCAGATTTTAGTTATGTAAAGGACTGAGTTGGACCACTTAGTGTCTCAATGCTACAGCTTTTCCAGAACTAACACTTTCCTAGTTCATACTAGACTGGAATTGAAAAGATAACTTTTATTTGCTAGTAAATCTGCCATACAACAAACTCTCATGGAATTTGACTTTTGAATGAAATCTCCCAAGTCTGTCTGAAGGACTGACATTATTCTAAGTCCTTTGGAGTCAGGAGGAAATCTGAAAGCCTTCACCAGTAGCTGTCTAGGGGAATATCAATCACTTTTTATCAACAAGATTTTCCTTGTACATGAACACAGCCTCCCACTCTGTTACATAAATCCACTGCCACTAGTTTGTTTTGTGGAACTTCTGCAATGTTGTTCATCTCTTATTGAGAATACAAATATAGGATGAGGCTCAGTGAGTAGAGTGCTTGCCTAACTTGCACAAAGCCCTGGATTTAAGCCCCAGCACTCCGTAAACTCTGCAAGTTGCTACTCAGCTGAGATCCCAGCACTTGGGAAGTGGAAGCCGGAGGATTAGCAATTCCAGTCCTCAACTACGTAGTAAAGTTGAGGCTAGCCTGGGATACCGGAAACCCATTTTTTTTAAAAAAGCAACTCTCAAATAACTAAATGATCCTTAGTGTATTTTCCTATTATATGAACTGCAAAATGTCTGCAAGACTCCATAGTGGTAAAGCAAAACAAAACAATACTCAGAAGGCTGAGGCAGGAAGATTGCTACAGGTTTGAGACCAGCCTGGACTACATAGTGAAACCTTATCTTGAAAGAAAAGAAGGAAGATGAAATGAAACTCATTGCCATGGAGGTAGTTCAAAAGAACTAAACCACCTAAAAGCAGGAATAAGGAAGCTCTAACGACCGTCTAGTTGTTTGGCAAACTGTCCAACATCATCTTGATTGGTTTTGCTTAGTGCTTGTGCAGGTCCTAGATTCAACTTGAAGAATAACTAAAAAGGTGTGGATCTGCCAGCCGGGCGGTGGTGGCGCACACCTTTGATCCCAGCACTCGGGAGGCAGAAGCAGGTGGATCTCTGTGAGTTCCAAGCCAGCCTGGAGACATTATGTTAAATAATAACAACAACAACAACAATAATAATAATAATAATAATAATAATAAAGAGAAGGGGGAGAGGGAGATGGGAGAGGGTACAGGTGCAGGTCTGTCACT